TAATTTGTCTGATAAAACTTTTTTTATAATTCAAAAACCTTATGAAATTGCACAAAATAACATTTTTGCGTTGTTTTTTGATTATAAAAAAAGTTTTAAAAGACGAATTAAAAATTCATCCATAGAAAATGTAGAAAAAATAATTGTGGTTTTTTTGAGCTATAGAACTCCTAGAAATGTCAAAAACTGAAAGAGGAGATAGATTTTTTCTGTAAAAAACTTTCAAAATGACCATTTTTGGCATTTTTTTCTTCCGAAAAACGACCATACATGAATCTATAACCACTAATAATTTTTTAAAAAATCATTTGAATCATCTTCAATCACCACAAAATCAGATAAAAAAATTCTGAAATTATGGTTTTAGACCTGCAATTGTGATCGCGCCAAACTTTTTTTCTGTAGATCAAAAATCAATTTGCAGTTCGGAATTGTTCTGTGGGAGAGCGTGCAATGTGATACTACTTATCTCGAGTTCTGTAAAAAGTGAAATACCAAGAGCAAATAATTTCTTTCATGTCTCTCTGTTTCAAAGTTCTAGACATGGAGAAATTCAGAAACCTTTTGATCTACCAAATAAAAGTTTAGCCCGCGCGGGGTAAAGTTTTTTCTTCTCGACAAGGTTTGATTTTCTCAAATTTTACCTTTTGTTTCTTTTTCTATTTCGCTCTTTTTTGTGCACATTTGATCGATTTCGTTAAGATTTTTTGAATTTTCGTCACTTTTTTTCATTAAAATTTCATTAATTTCTTGAATCCATTTTTTTCAGGTATGTCCGACCCGAACTTAAAACCATCACCTCTGCTCCGTTATTTTTTCCCGGCGGAAATCCTGAAATCGCTTCAACTAACCCCAAATGGATACACCATTCCTGACATCAGACGCAAGCTCTATATGAATTCAATTGGGACCATCGATAACCTTGCAAAATTCAAATCGTTCCCGGGAAGCGACAATAAGTTTGAGATAGGAATGACGGTTCCTTATAATGTAAGAGCCGAGTTTTAGGAGCTGAAATTGAGAGTACGCTGCAAAACCTGTAACAGATATATACTGTCAATTTTGGACCCAATAATCTCTTGTCCTGTAACAGAGACCAAAATGGTGTCAACTGACAAAACACTTTTGTTTTTATGATAAAAAGTTCATCAGTTTACAAATTTTTCATATCTTTAACAAGGACCGGGAAAAATTATCTCAAAGTAAAAAGTTAGAGGGCCTTTTATTACAAATTCTACGGTTATCGAAAAAAAATGAGTCTTTCAGATGGATACCTACGTCTACTCTAGTATGACTGACGCGGACAAAACGTTTGCCTACAAACACGACTTTCTGATTTTTCTGGGACAGATTGTATCGGAAAAAGTTAAACATAGTCCGCTTTTCATGTCATTGATTACGTTTTATCTCAAAAATAAAGAAAGAGAACTTGGAAACGGAAATTTCGAATTAGCACTGGTCGATGGAGATGTGCTCAGACAAGTTCAGGGAAGACTTGATGAGGCGTTTGGGGTGAGAGTTAAATTTATCGATTTTTTGATATTATATTGTTGTCCGGGTACTGTATGTTTTGTATTTCGAGAGACTTTTCCAAAAGGGCGAAGATATGTATTTTAAGAAACTCCCTGAAATTAGTCGTGAACAGTTCTGTGGGAGAATGGCGGACATGTTGAAATCTCGACACGACCAAGATATTAAGCCACTTATGGATGTCTTCAAAGAGTACGAAAACCAAATAGCTTCACTAGTGAGCCAAAACATTTATGGCGAATATTGTGTTTGGACTGGGACGATTGTCGAGATTTTAAATGAATTTATCGGATCTCATCCAGAGATTTTCAAGCCGAGCTCGATATCAAAACCAATAGATGAACCCGATATAATTCGATGCTTTGTAAATGATGAAACAATGTTAATTATGGATTATGAGTTTGAGCTCGCTAAAACACAAAACCGAAAACTGGCGTATTATGAATTGAAGGATTTGAAGGAAATGAGGGAGAAGATCATAAAAACTGGAGTTTATGAAACTGTGATGTCGCACAAATTCGGAACGTACTTCTTAAAAAATGCAGAGGTATGGTGATTGGTTCTGAAACCAAAATTGTTTAAGTTCACGGTATTTCCCTGGTTTTCAGGGATGTATCCTCAGATCAAAGTCAAAATACTTGTCATAATATCAGCTTCACTTTTCGGTTTACAAAATTGTAATATAGCTTAAAGAAAACGAAATAATTGATGCTAAATTGACAGTATAGTTGGCTTAAACTTCCCTTCTCGAGTTCCGATGTTTTCAACCAATTTTCCATATCTTTCAGTTTGTCAGAATGTCAATGATCCAAACATTCCGACGAGCCGTTCCGATTCCAACGTTTGACGGAAGACATTGCATTCTGGCTTCGGATCTTCTTATGGAAATTTTTCGTGATATGTGTTCGGTTCAGAATGTCTTCCAAAAGATCAATCAAAATAATTGGTCAATTGTCGAAGATTGTTTCAATGATCTCGCTGGAACCTTTAACGAAAGACTTGGCCCGTTCTTCATCGATACTGAAAAATCTGAAAGTGTCAGAAAACAGTGTGAGGATTATTTTGAGAAACACTTGGGATCCTCGCGAGTGGATATGATAAATGAGGTTCCGGAAACAGGATTCACATTGAAAGATGTAGAACAAAACGTAAAGTATCTTGGACTGGAGAATGCGTTTCCGAATATTATGAAGTTCGCCGATTATGCGTATACCATAATGAAAAAACTATCAGGGAATAGAACTCTAGAAACTAGTGACATGTTGACAGTATTAGAGTTCTGTCAAGTCAACTGTATTCTTCCGAAACTTCCAAAGGTGATTTTTCAGATTTTTTTGAAAATTCAAACAAACTTTTTTAGATTGAAAGATTCATTCATAACCAAGGAGCTTGTCGACGTGTGTTCTACCAGTGTTCCTATTGTCTTCCAATTATGCCAAGAGCTTTAGGCAATCCTAAAATGCGTATATGGGTCAGATCTCGAACGCAAGAGATGTCTAAAAGTTATTTTGCTCCAAACACAGAAGACGTGGAGCAGGTCAATAGAAATCCAGAAGCAGAAAAAGGATCATCTGATAAAAGGGAGAGTTCTGAATTTCCAAAAGATGAGAAATGTGAAAACTTTGAAGAGTTTGAAGAGGAACTGCAAGAACTGATTAGATATTATGCTTATGAAAAAGAGAGAACAAGTAGTAAATGGGGAAAGAATAATCGGATACTGGAGAAAAGTATGAAAAAATTTGGACCCCATGAGCTGTCTGAGGAGAACCGGGAACTTTTTAATAAGTGGGTTGGAAATGTGTTTTATTCAAATTTTACTTTCACATTTTCAGACAATTCGACAGAATCATGAACCGATCCGATTGGGATATCAAAAATTGTCAGCCCGATGATGAAGGTCGACCATGGCCCTGGTTTACCGACAAAGAACATAAAAATCATTGATTGATGAAACTTAATTACTTTTTAGTTTATTTTCTTGATGGTAAACATATTTTATTTGTATTTCTAACAATCTGTAATACATGTGATCTTCTTTATGACACGACCTTAAAAGTGAATTTTGAGCCGTGTCAGATCTCGAACGCAAGCGTTGCCTAAGCTCCAAACACAGAAGACGTGGAGCAGATCTCTAGAAATCCAGAAGCAGAAAAATGATCATCTGGCGAAAGGGAGAATTTTGAATTTTCAAAAAATGAGAAATGTGAAAACTTTGGAGCCCTGTGAGTAGCCGTGTGCGCCGCCCTGTGCGTCAGATCTCGAACGCAAGAGTTGCTTTCTTCAGCTTTTCGGTTCTTTTCAAAAAACTCATTTGGGAGAGAGACCTATCTTTATGACGCATGATAATGATTCTTGGTATTTTCTAGAAAATTTCAGAGTCATATTTTATTTTATCCTAACTCATTCACCATTTTTTATTCAATTTTCCATCCAAAATTACTTTTTTTTGTTTCCTATATTTTTGGCATTGTGCGGAACTAACACATTTTCAGATAATTCAATCAACATTTTTCCTGTTTTCGGTCCGTCTGAGACAGTCTGGCAATTCCGTTTCAGGAAATGAGTGTTCAAACTATTAGCACAAATATCGAAGCATTTTATATTCTCTGGTTTTGCAGATTTCTCTATAAACACACCTAATATTTGTTCTGCAACAGAGTTGCATTGCTAAAATTTTGACAAAAAAAGTAATGTTGTTGTACGGACACTATTTATATTTCATTATCGGAAATTCCACTTTTTACTTCCTATTTCCGGACCAAGAATCTGCGTTCGAAAAATTAAGAGCGGTAAGATGAAACAGTTTTTTTAACAAATTGAAAAACCTATCCAGAACATTCCATGCCTTCCGGACTATTTAAAAACAGCTCCGATTTTTGTGGTATCTAACAAAATCGGGTTTCATGCCTATCTAATGATAGCAAATTTCATAACCATTTCTACAAAATGCATTCTATTATTCGTGCTCCCTGCACACGATATATCGAAAAATTGAAGAATTCTAGAGTCTTTCAAAAAACAGTTCAAATGCAGAAGATGTTCCTTGTGGCATTATTCCTACAAACCTGTGTACCTCTGATTACTATCATACTTCCACTGGGATATTTTTCTCTGCAATTATACTGAACTATCATAACCAGGCCCTGACAAATATCTCAATGACTTGTGTATCAACTCATGGATTTATTTCTACAATTGTGATGATTATGGTGCGTCGACCATATCGGGACGCGGTCTTTGATATGATTGGAAAAACAAGGAAAGTTGATTCGCCAGAAGTTCAAATGATAACTACAAAAATTGTTGTTCACGAATAGAGATACAAATTTTCTGTAGAGAGCTTCATGTTCTTTTCACAACTTTTAGTTTGATTGAAAACAAGAAGAGGTTTTTTTTAAATTTTTCAAAGACGTTTTACTTTGTGAATCTACATATTTTTCTACGCTTTTTTAAGATCCAATTCAAGTATTTCAACATTAAATAATTGAAGTTTTTGTTTAAAAATACAAAACTATGTTGTATTTGTGACTAAAGTAAAACACACAGAAAACAAAAACTCCGATTCAAAAATCGCTTGCGACCAACAACCTTTGACCATGTTTTCGAAGACAGTCAGAGACGATAAGGAAGTTCTCTAGTTATTGTGACTAGTGTTACTAGAAAACAGAGAAGCCTATATAAAAGAATGTCTGGTGAAAATTGTTTATACCGATTCAAAAATGAGTGTGTTCATCGTCGCATTTTTCTCATTCATAGCCGCGTACATTGTTCATTTCTACTGGAAGGTTAGCAAATATCCAAAAGGACCACTTCCACTTCCATTTGTCGGGAATTTACTACAGGTTTGTTCATTGGTCTGGGATGTAAAGAAAAATAAAGTTTAGTTCCCCGCAACCCACATACAAACGTTTTATGACGATTTGGCCAAAACCTATGGTCCATGCTTCACACTTTGGACACCAACGCCGTCGGTAGTCATCACGGATTATGATCATTTAAAGGAAGCTTTTGTGACACAAGGTACTGACTTGTTTGGAAAGGGAATTGAGCTTTTTTGAAAGATGAACTTCAATACTTCAGGCGACGCGTTCATCACACGTGGTCTCCGTCCTCCAGAAACACTTCTACACCCAGATGTGGATACTGGAATTGTTTTCTCTAATGCAGATACTTGGAGAGTTCAAAGAAGAACTTCATTGAAAATTCTCCGAGATTTTGGACTTGGCCGAAACTTGATGGAAGAGCAAGTGACACGATCGGTCCATGAAATGCTCCAACAGCTGGATAACATCAAGGATAAAACGGATGTTGATATGTACTGGCCTATTCAGCTTTGTGTCGGAAATGTGATCAATGAGAGCTTGTTCGGCTATCACTATAGTTATAAAGACACGGAAAAATTTCAAAAGTTTGTGATGATTGTGGATAGACACTTGAAAAATCTTTCTGGTCGTCCACAACTTTTGATCGCTGCCTGGCCGTGGTTAAGACATGTCCCAATCATTGGAGAAATGGGTTATCATAGCATCAAAAGAAATATTAAAACGTAAGTTTTTAAAAAACCTGGAATATATCAGATGGGATCTTTTCAGTACCACAAGTTCATCGAGGATGAGGTAGCCAGTCAGATAAAGGAGTATGACGAGCATAGTGAGCCTGAAAATTTTGTACATGCCTATATGAAGCAAATCAATCAAGCTGGAAATCCCGAATTGAAGTTAGTGACTCTACTCCCAATCTACTCTCAAAATTACGCAAAAAAAATCATTGTGACATTTCAGCATGACCCAACTTTGTGCATCAGTTCTTGACTTCTGGATTGCTGGAATGGAGACCACTTCAAACTCACTTCGATGGCATCTTACCTATATGATGAAGTATCCGGAAATACAAGACAAAGTTCGTAAAGAAATTTTCGATGTTGTGGGAACCAACCAATTACCTTCAATGTCAGACAAACCAAATATGCCATACACTCAAGCAGTGATTCATGAAGTTCAACGACACTCGAATATGATTCCAATGTTGGGAACTCACTTTAGTATGTTTAAAATCTTTATGAGAACCTCATAAATTAGTTTCCAGACACCAAGGAAATCAACATCAAGGGCTACAAAGTGCCAACTGGAACAAATTGCATTGGTCAATTATGGTCCATTCAAAGAAACGATCCAGTCTTTATTGAAAGCCACAAATTTAACCCGAGTCGTTATTTTCAAGCTGATGGAAGAACTATGGATAAGGCTGTGCTAGAAAAAACCATCCCATTCAGTATTGGAAAGAGGAATTGTCTTGGAGAAGGGCTGGCTCGAATGGAGCTCTTCCTGATTTTCAGTGCTCTGATTCAGAAGTACGAATTTGTGCCAAAATCGAGTATTGATTTGTCACCAGTCTGGGGAGGAGTGCTTACTTCAAAACCGTATAGATGTCAATTGGTTCCTCAAACTGCTTGAACTATCAAATTGTACATTTGTTGGTTTGTATATTATGGGTTATATAAATGAAATTTTGAAAAAAAAAACTCTCACTAGCCGGGTATGGTTTCGAATTTTGATTGTAGTTCTCATACATCATTATGGTCAGCCACTGGTGTCGACCGCGCAGCTGAGCCGATACTTGAAAAAGAAGGTGCTTTATTGTTTTCCGGTTCATTTCCTGTACGAAAAATGTCCACTAGTGGTTCTTAATAATATTGAGAAAAAAAAAGAGATATCCTTTTCTCACGGAAATTTCTCTCTGCTAATAATATTCTAACTCTCCAGAAAAAAAGGTGAAGCGTTCTCTATAAGTATACAGGTATTGTAATCACTTCCCTATTTTTTCAAGGTGATCTGAAACCAAAGGCTTAGAATTAGGGCTGTGTGTGGGTTTTTTTAATATCTGAATTTCTGAAACCCTAACAATCTGTAATCAGAAAATCCTGGAACATTCTAGAAAAAACAAGAGATTCTACATGTGGGCATCTATTCGAGAAAGTACGGTATTCGAAAATTCCGATATCGAGAAAATATAATTTTTGAAAATGAAGAAACTCGGAAATTTCGGACACACGGAAAGTGGGAATTTCTGAAATTAGGAATTCAAATGTAAGATAAAGTAAACAAAACCCAGGAGGTTGAGCCCCCAGCAGGGGGCTCAAACCGACTGGTATTATTTAACAGGATTCTTCAGAGCCCAAACTTACAAACTCATCAGATTTCCATCTCGGGGCAAAAACATTCAGGTTCAAACATTTGTCCTCGTCGAATGTCATCCAGTCATGACACATATCTGAAAAATATTCTAAAAATATCTGAAAAATATTTTTTTAATGAGTTTTGAAGAACAAAACCTACGACGGAGAAGTTTCCAGACTGTGGACATCCAGGACCGTACTTGTAGCAATCGAGAGGTTCGGTCCATTTTTGAGCAGCCACAGACTTTTCGAACCGGACAGGAGGTTTCGCGTAGGGAATTCCAAGATAGCCATCAACAATTTTCTCTCCCTAGAAGTAGTTTTCGATCTTTTTTATTTACTTTTTCAAACAAACATGTTTATTGATATTTCCTCGAATCGGTCCACAGCTGGCATTCAGCACTTCTTGGTTTTTTTCGGGCTTCAAATGAGAAAGAAACCCACCCATTATGAGAAAAATCAAATGATTTATTTCTTCTGAAAAATGTCGCACTTATATATAAAATCAGACATAAACCACACAGAAAAAAGTGTGTCTGACAGACAAGAAAAAAGATTAACAAGTACAAACACAAAGAGAGAGTGGAGAATTAGACAAGTCGACAGTTTATTGCGATGAAATGTTTAGGGTGTGTAAGAGAATGAGATGTTGGAATTGTCAGATTGGTATATAACAATGCTTTACGCTTTCCGATAACTGTTCATGTTTTCTCTCAATGGAAAAATTTACAGTATTTATCGGAGGTTTTTAAGCTCACATATTTATAAATGTTATTTTTTCAAATCGCTTCACAGCAAATTCGATCCATGGAATAATATAGAAAATCAGACCTTTATAATAATATAACCCATAATTTTAATATAGAAAATCAGATCTAAACGACATAGGAAACATTTTCTCGACCTGGTTTTCCCGTAATTTTTTTTCGACCATTTTCAAAAAATGAAAATCGTTCGAAATATTTTTTTCACAAATTTTTGAAAAGATGTTTTCATTCAAATATGACAAATCCAGGTAGTACTCAAGCACTTTCAAGTTTTTCTGGAAGTACAAAGTATGTCCCAGACTCCCTGTTGCAGTTTTACTGCCTATCTAAACCAAGTTCGACAGCTCTCTACGAATTTATTCTTAAATTTCACTTGAAAAGAGTTTTTGAATCATGTTATTGAATGGATCTGTTTATTGAAATGGAAATGCTAAAATAGTATTCGGAATCGTTTTGAGAGTTTTATTCATAGAACAACAATCGTAATACCGGTGTAAAATCCAAAAAGATTCATTCAACAGGGACATTCGATATCTAACATCGTCCGCCGGTTTTTTTTGTATATTTCCAAATCTCCATTTTGAAAGTTATCTCTCATTTCACATTTTGGGTAATCGATTTTAAAATATCTGTCTGGTTGGCGGAGGTCGAATTTCTCCCATTTTCCACAGTCACTTAGTCCGTTAGGGTTTCTCAAATATAAATTTTCATATCAGTAATCCTTTTTAGAACTGCATATGACAAAACTTGCTACGAATTGCCCCATTATATCTATCACTCAACTGTTATTCAGTTGGATTGGACACGCTCACGATTGCATCACCGAAGACATAGGGAGCATCTGAACCATGAATTGTTGCTTTGAATGACAGTGTTGCAGATTGAGGGTCTATTTCTCTTTCAGTGTTGAAGTAATCAAAAGATGCCATTCTTTAAGAATTGGATATTCAGGCAGTGCTAGAAAAAATCATCCCATTCACTATCGGAAAGAGAAACTGTTTTGGAGAAGGATTGGCTCGAATGGAACTCTTCCTGATTTTCAGTGCATTGATCCAGAAGTACGAATTTTGTGCCAAAATCGAGCATTGACTTGTCACCAGTCTGGGGAGCAGCACTTACTTCAAAACAAACTTTATCAATGTCAACTGATTTCTCAAACTGCTTGAGTTCTCAAAGTGAACATTTCTTGATTTGTATATTATGGGTTATATTAATGAATTTCTGAAAAAAAAAGAAAAAAAGTTGTGGGTTTAAATCCAGATTGTATTGCGTTGGTCAGCCGCGGGCGTCGACCATGAGCCGGTAGCGGAGAGACACTTGAAAAGAAGGTGCTTTTCGTCTTGCGGTTCATTTCCTGTACGGAAGCTGTCTACTAGTGGTTCTTCATAATATTGAGAAAAAAGTGTTATCCTTTTCTCACGGAATTGGTCTCATACAGTTGATTAACCAGTTAATATTCTTACATTTTTAGTTTGCATTTCAAGATGAATATTGATGAACCGTATATTCACTACTCCAGATATGCTCAGAATATTGCACTTGCCGGTTTTTTCCTAACAACTTTCTTATGTTCCCTTCTCGTTTATCTGACAATATTTGAAATAACTCGTAACTTTGGAAGTTATAAAAACCTACTGGTAACATTTGCGAGTTTTGGAATATTTTTTGCTTCAACGGAGGTTGTTCTAAAATTGGTAATTTGGGTGGTAATATGATCATCATGAAGGTAATAAGCTCAGAATGTCTACTCTCACAATGCTGGCTGGATTTTTTATGCCATCAGTCGCCCATTCGACCTGAGTACGTCTTTTATGAATTGGTTGTTACCTTTATATACGGGGAGCTATTCCCTAACAACATCCATGTTGTCTGTACAGTTTGTGTACCGGTATTGTGCACTTTTTCAGTAAGTTGCCGCAAACATTCTAATAGAACGGCACCCAAAGCGTCCACTTTGAGCTTACACTTCTCATTTCCTGTAAGGTATTGCAAAACGTGATAAACTGACAATATGATTATTATAATGTCAAAAACATTTGGTCGGTTGAACAATAACTGATACCTATAACAAAAAATTAGATATATGAGCTCAAAGTTGACGGTAAAGGAAACTGATTGATGTTTCATCAGCATATACCGAATAGATATTTTGTTTCAGCGAATCCAAACTCCGATTTTTTGGAGGATGGAGATTCCTTATTTGCATATTCTTCGCTCTTCTATTTGCTATTCAATGGGCGATGGGAATGCATTACTTCCTTGAGTTTGATGATTATTCCATTAGCTACTTTAGAATCGAAATGCTTGAAAAATATAACATGGATATTTCTGAAATAGCAGGGGTAGCTCTAGTAGTTTACGACGCAGATGGTTCTATCAGGTGGTGGAATGTTTTATGCACCTTGAATATGACATTTATTATGTCCGTACAGTATACTATAATAATATACTGTGCGGTTAGAATGTACTTAAACATGGAAACCAAGCTTCAATTACTATCTTCAACATTGAGAATTCAACATAAACAATTTTATAAAACACTGATTCTTCAAGTTGTAACACCAACTTTTACTTTGTTCTTACCAATTATGATGGTCAATAATCTTCCATTTTTGAATCTTCATTTCGATTTCCCTAGTGGCATATTTACATCTGGACTCGTTTTGTACCCAGCTCTGGATGCGTGTATAGTAATGTATGTTGTGCAGGACTATAGAAAAGCTATAAGAAGTGAGTTGTAAAGGTAGGTAATTTGGAAAACGTTTTTTTTTCAGATGTTTTCAAGAAAAGTGTCGATAAGATACAATTTACAGTGACTTGGACTCAGAATACTACAACTGTGAATGTTCAAAATGCAGTGTTGTTCTGAAGAAGACTTTTCAATTTGTTTTAATTCATTTGTTTTCATTTAAAAAGTTGATAAACGTCACATACAATTTTTGAGAATTTCGAATCATTAAAATTTGTAATAAGACTTCCAATTATAAGAAATGACCCTCGCATGGAAGAATACCATCGAGTACGTATGTCGTTTTGTTTTCCTGCGAAATTACCGTGAAACCTGTAATAGAGAGACACTCTAATTATTAACTTTGAGCCATTTTTTCTCAGCTTTTTTCAATAAAAGAAATGATGGCCAACTGATAAAATGTTCATCCTAAATTCACAATCATTTTATCAGTTGACAAAATTTTGGTATCTTGCATATGAACCAAAAAAATTAACAGAAATTTGACAGTGTAGGGCTCTTTTATTACAGGCCTTACTGTAATAGAAATAGACATGATAACGATCTCAGATGTTCGTTGTCTTTTCGTCAAATCAGGACTATCTGTCTAGACAACTACTAATAACATCCGGTACATAATAATACAACTTCTCTTTTCAATGCTCATAATTTTATCACACAGAGTCATCACAACGCAATGAAGTTTACTCCGTGGGTAAATCTTGCTCATTTGATAGCAAGAGTTGGATTTTTTGTCACTTCTTTCTCCACTACGCTATTCTTGATACTAACGATTTTCTATGTGAAAGAGAAAGTTGGAAGCTACAGATATCTCCTTCTTTTACTCCCTGTCACCGGTTTCTTTTTTGCTTCATTCGAGTTTCTTATCGATCCAGTAAGTTTAGAATTCATGCACAGACAGACACTGTAAGTGTTTTAGTTTTTTCATTCTTATAACCAAGGGTTCGTTTTGTTTCGCCTGTCGTCTTTTGAGAGTTTCTCTCTAAGTTTTAACACATTTTTGCTGGCGTTATACGTTGCATTATACGGTTGCACGATTTCTGTATTATCTCTGCAGTTCGCCTACAGATATTGGGCAGTTTTTCGGTTAGTTTTTTTATAGTACCAACCAAATCAAAATTTGTCTTAGACCTCGTTACATCAAAAAATTCTTTGATGGTCCCCGCTTCATTTTCCCAATCCTCTACATGTTATCTGGAGGATCTTGTTGGTTCCTTGCATGTTTCGTTTTCAACCAACCTGACAACTACTCGTTGGAATATTTGGGACCAGATGTGTATGAGAGCTATGGAGTTATTCTATCCGAACAACCATTATTATTAGTAGTGGCTTACGATAAAGAAGGGCTCATCAGATTCTCCAATTCTTTTGGACTATTTCTCATGGCCTCGTTTCTGGTAATTGCTAAAATTATCTTCAATTAACTTTAATTCACTCCGAATTTCAGTCCATCCAATATTCCAACATCATTTACTGTGCTGTTTTGATGGGGTTAAAAATGCATAAGAAACTGTCAATTCTTTCATCGAAAATGCAACAAATGCATCGGCAATTCTATCATGCTCTCATACTTCAGATCACAACACCTACACTGACCCTATTCTTCCCAGTTTTTATTCTTTATTTCGTCCCTTATCTCGACATTGAAATTAGTTTCCCAACTGGAACATGTTTGAGCGCATTTGCTTTATATCCTGGAATGGATATTCTTATCATGATTTATATTGCATCGTATTATACACAAGCAATGAAAGGTGGGCATGAGTTGTAAAGGAGTTGAGAAGGGAAAAAGTAAAGGACAGTTTGGGGAACAAAATCGCGTCAAGCTTATGTATTCCATCGGTCGACAGTTGGTTTCGGGTCCACGTAGGTCAGCCGGTAGCGGCGCTGTAGCCCTTAATTGTTTCTTATCAGTTAAGCTCCTCCTAGGGGTTCTCTAAGCAGAACATCTAGAAATTGTTTTTCTGATTTCTTGCCTTCTTTAAATATTTCGCTCTTTTCATACCCGTCATCAGCTGTTGGGCTACCGTTAAACATGTAATAGAGAGCTTCACGCGGTCACGTTTGAGCTAATTATTCTTGGCTTCCATGCATGGTATCAAAAATGTGTCAACGGATAAAATGTTTGTGTGATTATCATAAACACGTTATCAATTGACACAAATATAAGTTAAGAAGTCTGTCAGGTTTTACGGTAGTCAGCGACCGCATAGCTCAGCGAGCTGCGGTGCGGATAAAAACGGGGGGTGTTAGAGTTGTGGATAGATTATAAGGGCTAAAATGGGTAGGGGCTCTCAACTCAGCTATACGGTCACAAACTGTCAAATGCCACAGAAATTACTAACATTTTAGAGTCATTACGGTACAAAGCGATTTCGAGGTACAAAATCATCAATTGGTGGGTACAAAATACCTGAAAATTTTTGAATTTTGTTTCCCGAAATCACTTTGTACCCCCTTTGTATCCCAGAATCGTTGTACCCTCTGAATTATGTGCCTCGCAAACTTGACGGCGCATTTGAAACTAGTGATATATTTCAAAAAGAAAAAAAAAACATTTTCAGACTTCATCAAAACTTTGCTCTGCATAAAAACACAGAAGGCTAAAAAAGAAACAAGTTCCACAAAATCAAGAACCGGCAGCACTAATTTGAAGTTGAGTGTCTTTTCCACCATACACTCGTAATTCTTTCTATCCATCATCATTTTAGTTTTGACCGATAAAACTGCCTTCTTTTCTTGTTCTTACTGGCAAAAGAGACACAGACACACCTTGACTACAACTGATACGCCCGTATCAATTGTGTTAACACAAACAGACTGAATTGTAGTCAAAGTAATAAAAAAGTATAAAAAGGACGCACTAGATCAGTCAGAACATAAATTAAAAAATGTCTCTTCGCCGTTTTCCCAACGCCTCCAATGTCTCTTCTGAAATTCTCGGAGAGCAATTGTGTTTTCCGAATGGGTGTCAAGCTCAGAATCGATTCTTGAAAGCTGCTCTAACTGAAATTCTCTCTACCTACTCGCCCGACGAACCTAAAAAACATGGACTACCAACTGATTCCATTCTGAATATTTATGATAAATGGGGTCATGGAAAGTTTGGAATGATTTTGACATCAAACGTGCTCGTGGATCCGGTAAGTTTTTATTATAGGAAGCATGAACAATTTGGATTTGCAGACCAATCTGGAAGCGGCGGGTAACGCAATCATCTACCAAGAAGGTGAATGCCATGAACGTCGGGCGTTGTTCACTCACTGGGCCAAGTTAATGAAACAAGATGGTGCACTGGCTGTCATGCAGCTCTCTCATGCTGGAAGACAGACTCCATCATACGTAAATCCCACTCCATGGTCAGCATCTGACATCCAACTGGTGTCTGGTGTTCGTTACACCACTTACGGAAAGCCAAAGCCTCTGTCCACGGAACAAGTGAAGACCGAAGTGGTGGATCGATTTGTTTATGCTGCAAAATATGCCTATGAATGTGGTTTCCATGGAATCCAGTTGCACGCAGCCCATGGATACCTGTTGTCACAATTCACATCTCCCACTACCAACAAGAGAACTGACAAGTATGGAGGGTCACTCGAGAATCGACAAAGAGTCATTCTAGAGATCTATAATGCGATCAGAGCTGAGATTCCAGCATCCACTGGTTTCCTTGTTGGAATAAAAACCAATTCAGTGGAGTTCCAAGCGGAAGGGACTACCCTTGAACAAGGAAAGGAGATGTGTCGAGTGTATGAAGAGAGTGGATTTGATTTTGTGGAGCTATCAGGGGGAACGTATGAAAAAATGGCGTTTTGTCATGAGAGGGAGTCCACAAAGAAGCGAGAAGCCTTCTTTTTAGAGTTTGCGGAAGAGGTTAGCATTTTAAAATAGTTCGAATAATATTATTCTTATTTCAGATCCGTCCAGTTTTCAATAAAACCGTTGTCTACTTGACTGGCGGATTCCGATCAGTCTCCGCGATGGTAGCTGCGATTTCGAGCAACGCCACTCAAGGAATCGGTCTTGGTCGCCCAATTACTGCGGAGCCGGATCTGCCAAAGAAGATTCTGGAGGGTTCGGTACCATCAGCAGTTCAGGATCAATTCGATCCTAATCAATTAACGTTGACGGCTCTTGCAAGTGGCACGCAGATGGAGCAAATGGGAAGAACAAGTGTGAAAAGCGTGGGGGGAAAGTGAGTGAATGATTAGGGAACATCTAGAACAAACCATTTTTTTCAGCGTCATGCATCAGGTATCGGACTTCAGTTGTGAGGAACTTGTTCAAAAGTACATTGCCACGGTTGGAAATCATTTGCAACAAGTCAGCAATGATGTAAACAATGGGAAAAGAGCAAAATCTGTGATTGTATTTAATTGAATGCCTATGAAGTTATTTTTTGTGTGAATAAACTAGATTGTATAGAAATTGTGAGAGAGTTAATACGCTGACCTTTGGGGTAGGGGTCCAATATTTGAAGCCCAAAGAAGACCACCGGTCACCCATGACCAACAGGTTCGACTACATTTGATACGATTGTGTCCAGTGAGAAAAATTCATATCACTATCGTCATCATTTGAAAAAACTATATAAGGAATTCAGAAGAACGATAGACTAATAACTTCAGACACTATGATATTACTAAAAATTTCATTTTTATCCTTCTTACTTTTGAAGTCTGTGTTCTGCAAAAACATCCTCGTATTCAACCCGGTTTTCGGGTTCAGTCATATGAAATTCATGAATTGCATTGCTGATATACTGGCTGATAAGCATAATGTTGTAAGTCAACAAATTTTAAACGGTGCTCGAAAATTAGAAAAGTTGTTTCAGACTGTGTTTCAGCCATTTTACAGAGCTTTGAAAAATACAGACGGGTTGCTGGAAAATAAAAACGTAAAGGTGAGGGAAAAGAAATCCTCATAAATAGAAGTTCCCACTTTTCAGGTCATCAATTACTACCCAAACCATTACGATGAGTTGGTAAACCAGGCGACACAAACATTTCCAGCTTTTTGGGAATCCTATTTTATGAACAATCCAGTTTTTCAAACCTTTCAAATTCCAAAAACCCTCGCTAATGATTACAAAAGAACAGCAGTTCGTGAGTGCCTTAAAAAACTTTTGTTTCCAAAAAAAAAATATTTTCAGAATTAATGAAAGATCAAAAAATACAAGAAGAGCTACGCAGTCATAAGTACGATGTGATGATAGTTGAGGCTTTTGAATTAAGCGGATTTTGTGAGTATTGTTTTCCAAAATTGATCTTCTGAAACCGATTTTTTAGATGTTGCTCATCTGATCGGAATTCCAAGCATCCCTGTTATATCAGCAGTGCGTTCAGAGCCAACCAGCGAACTATTCGGACAAAAATCGGTGTTGGGATTTGTAGCTCGAGAAGGTTCGAGAATGGCTCCTGATGCTGGATTCTTCGAAAGGCTCAATGATGTTTATAGAGATTTTTTGTGGAAGAAGTTATTGAATATATTGGGTGATCTACAGTATTCGAATATTCAAGGAGCCATCGATCGACCAGTTCCGTATTGGAAGGATCTAGTGAAACAGTCCCCGATTTTTATCACTAACTCAAATCCCTATTTGGATTTCGCAGTTCCTGCAACTCCTGCAATAGTGAATGCCGGTGGGATCACTATGGACGTCAATAGAAAACCAGAGAAACTTACCGAAGACTACGAGATGATTTTGAAAGCGCGGGATTTTACAATTCTGATTTCTTTTGGCTCAGTGATCCGCTCATTTCAAATGCCGGATCACTTCAAATATGGACTTATCAAGATGTTCGAGTCTCTGCCAGATGTCACTTTTATCTGGAAATATGAGAATGAAGACTCGAAATTTCAAAGGGAACTTCCAAAGAATGTTCATCTGAAACAGTGGGTTCCACAAACCGCACTTCTCTCTGACAAACGATTGAAACTATTCATCACCCATGGCGGGTTGGGAAGTACTATGGAGCTTGCCTATTCTGGAACACCTGCACTAATGGTCCCAGTATTCGCGGATCAGTATCAAAACGCTGCAATGCTTTCAAGACATGGAGGAGCGGTGGTTTACGACAAGTATGATTTACAGGATGGAGAGAAACTGGCTGGAATTGTCAAGGAAATTATCATGAATCCAAAGTATAAGTGGAATGCCGAGAGACTTTTGAGAGTTTTGTCTAATCAGCCAATCGATGTGAAGGAGAATTTAATGAAACAAGTCGATTTTGCCATAGAGTGAGTAGCTTCCATCTTAACGGTTTTAAGCCGCACGAATTTTCAAAATTTGTCCCGGAAACATTCCCACTTTTTCAAAAAAGAAATTTTCAGATTTCCCGAATACCGCTCACAAGTTCCAGCGATCACCATGACCAATTTCATCACCTATCACTATCTAGATGTCGTAGCCTTTTTGGGTTTTTCTATTATCTTCGCTCTAATTTTTATGAGTTATTCTGTTGTCAAATTTTCTCGCCGGCTCGCTAAGATTGAAAAAGTGAAACGTAGTTGAATTTTTTTCAAATACATTTTATTATTTTGCAATCGACATTTCAGACAATATATTATTCTTATCACATAACCCATACGCCAAAAACACATCCCGAGATTCTTGGATCAGAAACACAGCTTTTTGTACTCCTTGAAGTATTATGACGATTTCTCCAACTCGCATCGAATAATCTCCTGAAGGGTTTTTGAGCTTTTCATAATTTGAAAATTCTTCAAATATCCGTGAACGCATTTGTTTGCATATTCGAATACATTCTTCTGTTTGGTTAGGGATGCCTAGAAAGATTGGTTTTTTGTGGCGATTCTATTATACAAGTTCTACCGAAATCCCATAATATCAAAGCACAAATGAATAGGAATTCCGATTCATCCAGATGCACTTCTTTCACATGTTTCCGGAGCATCTGGTAGTTGAGGGTGAAGTATGGGGTCATCAACCTGAATAAGATTCAAGGATGTTGATGAAGATGACAAATACTTACGCCTTCAAATGTTCAGCAGTTTTCCTATCATTATCACTAGAGTCCTGATAGAATGAATCAATATCTCGTCTATCGAAATAATCCCCGTTCACCATTAGAAATAGCTCGCTATCTGAATGAACCGAATCTTTTCATGCTATGTAATTTTTTTGTGTGTGTCGGTGTGTTTGAGATCCGCTATCTCGGTTCCTGTGAGAGATATCAAAAAGTAGTCAACTGGCAAAATATGTTTGATATTACAACAAAAATTTTGTTAATTGTTACTTTCAGATATCCTTAACCGGAAATAAGGTATGAGGCAGGCCTGTGCGGCACAAAATTTTTTCGGCAATTCGGCAACTCGGCAATTTGCCGAATACTTTTCGGCAACGTTCGGCAACTCGGCAATTGCAGAAAAAAAATTTCGGCAATTTCGGCAACTTTCGGAAATTTTCGGCAACAAAAGTTTTGCGTCTTTTTTTAGTAAAATCGATAAGTAGCTCACCTGAAAATGCTTCTATCAGGCTCAGAACTACAGCAAATGTGTTTCATAAGTTCCTAAAATCGCGGAACGAAAAATAAAATCACGGATCGAAAATTTTGGGTAATCCAAAAATTGCTATCTTCTTCACTTTGACAAGTAGTATCCGTAATACTAACTTTGGCATCAATTTTACTTTGTCCAATACCCAAAAGTATACTAAAAAAGGGTTTATCAATTTCTTAAGATACGCTAGTTAACAGGTTACATAGGACCTGTAGAACATCTGAAAATTCAGTTTGAAGCTACATCAAGCAGTTATTGAGCTTGCTGACATTTTAGGGTGTTTCAGATAAAAGAAGCATGGCGTTTCAGCCTAAGCCTGTGATTGAAAAAAGCTTCTTAAATCCAAAAATATCATCCAATTTTTAAAAAATGAAAAATAAGATTTCTTCAATTATTGGCTTAGGCTGAACCATCATGTTTCCTTCATGTTGGACACCCAAAAAACGACGGGAAGTTTGATAACTCTGCTCGTTGCAGCCTCTAACCTAACTCTCATATGTCCCATGATCCTCAGAACATCTGGGAAAGGTCCTATGTAACCTATTAATCATGTACACTATCAACTAGTGTACCTTAAGGACTCAGTACCACATTTCGGGTGTCATTTTGGATACTGAGCAAAAAAAATGTAATGTCAAGGTTAAATTTCAGGATAGTACTTGAATGAAGGTTCTTGCAATTTTTGGATTACCCAAAATTTTCGTTCCGTGATTTTATTTTTTGTTCCGTGATTTTATTTTTCGTTCCGTGATTTTTTTTCGTTCCGTGATTTTTTCGTTCCGTGATTTTATTTTTCGTTCCGTGATTCTAGAAGAGTGCCTATTTTTGTCCTATTCTCACAAATTTGAAGCCCATTTTTAGATCCGATGCAAGTATTTTTGATGATTATTGGGACACATTTCCTCTAAAATTCACTCTGAGGGATGATGGTGTTCAAAATTTGATTTTTCGAACTTCGATATCATTTTTTTGACTTAAAAAATTGTGAAAATCTCTAAATTCAAAAAAATTTAGTTGCCGAAATTGCCGAAATTTTTTTGCCGAAATCGGCAACGGCAATACGGCAACTTTTTCATCGTTGCCGATTTCGGCAACGGCAAATCGGCAACAAAAATTCGGCAATTTCGGCAATTTCGGCAATCGGCGATTTGTTGCCGCGCAGACCTGGTATGAGGGCACAAAGGTGTAGGTTTAGGTGACGTCCAGTCTATGCAAGAAAAACGAATACCTTGAGATCGATAAGCACCATCGAGCAACGCATACGGTACTAAAAAATTGGCCCCTAGAATTGCTTTCTGCTCTTCGGGGACTGGAGTGATTGATTGAAAAAATTCCGAGAGGTGTTGTTTTATGAGAACGATGTCAATGGAGACAGTTTCGTTGAAAGCTTTGTAATTGGCTCGTTTAGGTACTCGGGTCTGAAAAGTTTCAAAAATAAGATGGAAAATGTAATTCCTTGATTCTTTTTCGAACGCAAAGAACCTTGACCATTTTCCTGTGTACCGTCTTTATCAGTTTTTTTTTTTGAAAACTTGTCTTATCAATCAGAATTTTATCTTATCATTCACTAGAAATTCTCTCAAAAAACTACACTTATCACACTCAACACAATCTGTTAATGATAAAAATACATGAATTATAGTTTACCAGCCATTTGTTTGTCGCGACTCTGGAGCATCAATCAGCTGGTTGGTGCGCATTCGGAACGAATTTATCAAGTTTCTACTGGGTCGTCGCTCCGCTCCTCACATTTTCTTGAAGGTTACGTAAATCTATACTTATTTTGCAAAATTTCAAAAGTCCACAGATTGACACCGGGACAGACAGACGCGTTTAGTGTTTTGTTAAAAGGAAGATAAAATTTTTCTCATTATGAACCTGAATATGACACTCACCTTCTTTTTAAAAACCTCACATCTGGCGTTCACCAATTTTCCATATGCCACTTTTATCTGCTCCAATAAGCTATTCTCAATCCACGGATTGGTTTCAGCTTCTGATTTTGGTACCACTCTGGACATCACTGCACACGTTCTCATACCAATTTGTACACATTTTTCATAACGGCACGATGGACAGAGCCTTCTCAACAGTTGATTATGAGTATTACATCTTCCTGCACATCTACATTTTGGGTTCAATTTTCCGGACACTACTCGTCGGCGGAAAAATGCGGCACAGGCTCTTAAAAATGTTTTATCATTTAACTTACTTAAAACGCTTCAAAAGTTTTTACCTACAAGAATGTGCACCAAAATGCACTGAATCCGCTGGCTCGCCACATACGCCACATTTTGAGGAGGACGGATTCATAGTGGAAGAAATATAGGAAAAAATGTTATAATATAGCGAGAAAAATGTGTTATGTTGGACGAGAAAAAAATCTCTTGTGTTTCGAATGCTGTAGACATTGGCAAACATTTGGGAGTGAGATATCTAGAGACGCAGGACGAGAGAAAACAAAGAAAAAACGATTAGGAGTACATTGATACCTGTTTTGACTGAAGGCAGACAGAAAAAAAAGAAAAAGAACAAAAATCACGAGGAAGGGAAAAATGGTGTTTAAAAATTGTTCAGAATCTGAAAGAACCTAAAAATGGGTATAAAATTTGGCTACTAACCTTTTGTCTACATTTGTGTATGGTTTTTGCTCTCGGGATATTAAATCATAACAAAATACATTTTATAATACTTTCTATTGACCTCATCTGAACGAGAAAATTTGGTTATATATAATAAGAAAATATTATTTCAAAACAAGGCAACACACTAGAACATACATACTAGACCTTCATTTCGCTCAATTGGCTTGTGACGTTCAGTATAACAAAATTACAGAGTTCGTTTTACGGTATTAAACAAGTTATTTTGTGTTGAAAGTAAGAGTTACACTTTATCAAGAATTTAGCTGCCCAAAAATACAAGAAACAACAAAAGACAAGATTAATTCAATGGAACAAATCTTATACCATAATGTGGTGGCCTCTTCATCATTGCAAATGGTGACCGTGTCTTGATTTCTGGCTTCTGTCCAACTGGCTGAAAATTAAAGTCCAAAACAAGATTTCCAGTGATCTGAAAATATCATTCCTTTTCAAGATCAGAAATTTGTGACCTACCAAATACAATTCTGCTCGAGCCAATGACTCGCCAAGACATACTCGTTTGCCGATACCAAATGGAATCAATGACTTATCCAAGTTGTTGTTCTCCAAGAATCGTTTTGGATTGAATTCGGTATGATTCTTGAAAACGGTTTCATCGGTATGGATCATTGACATTTGTGTGGTAACAATGGTTCCCGCTGAAATCGGTTGTCCATCGATCACAGTGTCCTCCTTGACTTGACGAGACAGATTCATGCTGAGGATTGAAGCAATGCGTTGGATTTCCTGAAATTTAGACATTTTTCTCAGGAAATGAGGTTTCACTATTATCAAACTTACATTGATAGTGACATTCAAGAATGGTGTATTCGGCTTATCAGTCAATGATATCCCACGAGTTCCTCCAGTGACTCCTAACAGCTCTTCTCTCAACTCTTGCACCACCTCTGGATGTTGCAGGAAACAAGCACAAGCCCATGTCAAAGTTGCAGAGGTTGTTTCCTGACCACCTATCCATAAATCATACATGTCAATGGTCATTGTCTCAGGACTGAAAATGTTCAAATATTATTTTTGAAATTTTGAAAGTAAAAGTTTTACTTGAAAGTTGAATCCGTTACTCCATCCATCTTGTCTTTCTCCATTTTTATCAAAAAAGCGTCCACGAAATCATCTCCTTCTTCGCCTATTATATGTTTTCCGTTTGCAACGTCCTCCAGTCTGTAATCAAGATGTAAATAAGAAAATGTCCTTAAATCAATTTTGCTATTCACCTTTTCTTGATTCCCTTATCCACTTGTGCATATATCAAATCGAATGGACGACATATGGTTTTGGATCGCCACTTCCAAAAGTCCGACTTCATCAACCAGCTCGGAGTGAAAGCGTCCAAAATTGATGCGCTCTCAAACCCCTCGGCCAGACTTGTATTGAGCTCATCGAAATCTTTGTCACCCTGCTCGAATCGTTCAGATATCAGCAAAGTGTTAATGATGGATCCCACAAGTAAGTCGAAGCAATTCGCTGCATCCACTTCGATCCCTCCGTTCTTGAAGTTGGTCTTCCGGAAGTCATCGAATCTGAAGTGACTTTGCCTATCGTTTCTTTTTCTAATTACTATTGGGGCGTCGCAGGAAATTTCTGGTCGGAGGATGGTCAGATTCCAAATTATTCCGTTACTAAAGTCGATGATACTCTGACCAACTTATGACAAGGTTCCAACCGAAATCTGACCATGGCCTTCTATACAACCGTTTTCGGTAGGTTCTGACCAAAACCTGGTCCATATCCCCCCAAAAGCCGAAGGCCACATACCTGTATCTATACTCTTCCATGATCTTCGCCTCCATGATATTCCTTCCCAGCCCGAAATCTCTCAACGTCCTCAATGCGAATCTTCTATGTTCTTGCCAAAAATCTCCATTCGACGCAACGATGCCACGTCCCTCTCGAATGTAATCTATCATCTCCGGCAAATACCGTGCTCCAAACATGTTTGCTCTTTTGATATGCGTCTCATGAGCGATTTCAAAGTCGGAGATGTGAACAGTCGGCACCGGACCAATCCATACCGTGAATACTTTTCCGTATTGTTTTTTGAACTCGTTGAGACCAGCAACGACTCCACCAGCTTTCCAGCAAGTGTAAACGAGTTGGTGGATGTTTCCAATCAGTGGCAAAGGAGTGGGTCCTGAAAAAATAGAAATTTTGGTTGGGAAGATAACATTTTTAATACCTCTTGGAAGTTTTCGACTCGCTCTCCACGTTCTCACAACGAATATCGAGAAGATTGAAATTAGAATAAGAACAGTAAGCATTTTTAAGGTATATGAATTTTCGATAAGGCATCCTTCTTTTATACCATTCGCCTTTTTAATGACTACATTTGACACAGTCTATTCAGTATCTTTTTACTCTGTTGGAGAACGAGAGACGCAGAGTGTTGACTACAACTGACACGAATTTGTGTCAGTTGTACGTAACAAGACGGCAGATAAGAAAATCGAAGATTAGAGGCATGTTTGAAAAGAATAACTGTTTTTCAAAATTACTCTGTAAATGATCCGGAGGGAATGACATTTTTGGAGTCATTGGGGTACAAATGGATTTAGGGATACCAAATTCTTGTAAAAGATGGAAAAAAAATAATTTTGTACCACTGCTGAACAAAGTCAGCTTGCAGCTCGAATTTTGAGCTGATGCAAGAAAAACGTGAAAAACGAAAACAACAAAAAATTGGTTTCGCAGATACTTGCTTCCTGAAATAAACAGGATATAATCATATCAAACCAAAAATTGACAACAGATGCTTTTATGACATTTTTCAGGCAAAGTTTCCCATATGATCGCCAGGGGAGCAGACTGATTTCAGATAGTTTTCAGACTTCTTTAGATTCGGCACTTTTGTGATTTGTCATTTTGAAAGTGGAAATGCAAAATCACAACCTTTAAATTATTGTTATTCACCACTTGAAATTTATTTGAAGTTTAGTCTGTTATCCTTCTGATTTAAACCTAACCAATAATTATAACAACTCAAAATTTTCCTACTTGAAATTTCATTTTTTTTTCCTTTTCCCTATTCATTTCGATTTTCAAATATCTAGAATGCCTGAATATTATACTATGGAATGGTTAAATTTACCTGAAAATGTACCAAAATCAAGACTAGCTGCTATCCAACTAGCATACGGTATTCCTTCGATTCTTCTAATGTTTATCATGTTTTGGCTCATGGGATGCTCTAAAAAGTATTCCAGCTCATTTTATAGACTGGTTCAAATGGATTTGTTAACTGTGACTAATAACAAAGTCCACTTAAATTACTTGTACATTTTCCAGAACATTGTTGGTTGGTTGAATTCGTGGATTGCTCTTCGCTATGCGGAATTTCCCTTCGGCACTATTTATATTCGATTCTTTTTAGGATACGTTCCTTGGCTGTGGAATGTGTCGATTTTTATCTACACCTGCATGTTTCATGTGCATTTTTGCTCGGCAATTTCCTTGAGTATTCATCGGATCTCCTCAATTTTATTTTTCAACTCCTATGAAAAGGTTGTTGTTTTGGGAAGCTTGAGATCTCCCAAAGTTTGTTTTTCAGTTTTGGAGTCGTTATTATCTGGTAGTTTACATTGTTTACTGCTTGTTCAGCTCACTTCCCAACTTATTAGCATCTGGGTTACCTCCTCGATTGAATCTGATAAATGGGACGCTGTGGTTTTCAGTAGATATCGAGGGCACAGAAAACTTCAACTTTGGCACTAATGTTTTTGCGGTTGTCTATTTTATATCATTAGTGGGAACCGGGATAGCCGTGCCAATTATAATTGGAAGAAAGTTTCAGGGTAAGTGAAAAACATATACATACCTTCAGTTTTAAAGGACGGGTTCAAATCTTTTTAATAGTCAGAAATTGCGCCCTGCTGAAAATCTGAGAATCTTACGAAAAAACCAATTTTTAAACATCTGTCAAAGCGCCGTCGGCGCCATCTGTTCCGCAAGTTTGAAGAAGGGTATATAATAAAATCTTGTTGGCTTTGTTCAGCAGAGCGCGCTTGCCTAAATTTTCAAAGTTTCAATAACAAAAAATACAAGTTCACCTCCTTTCTTATTTTTTCCATATCTCACCACCATTTTCACAGGATCTTTGGCCGATATTACGATCTCGAAAAAGCTCACCAGAATCGCGGTAACAAGTGGATTTGTCTATTCTGGAATTCTTTTATGGAGTTTGCTGAACGCAGTAAATACAAAATTCCATCTTTTGCCAGAAGAATACGCTTCGAGTATTTCGTTTTCCGTTTTGAGCTGTGTTTCGGATGTGGTGGGCTAATTTGACAAAATAGTTAACATCATCTTTTTTCACTTCCAGATGACATTGGCGTTTCCGTACATTCTTCTGATATTTGATTCCAATATTAAACGAGACTTTTCAATTGTTTTCCAAAAGTCAACGAGTGAAGTTTCCAGTACAGTACCTGTCATAATGACATCTTGAATTATTAGTTTTTGAATTGTGTCAAAGAATGGGTCTCAACACTTTGAAGGATCCGAGAGAAATAATTTTTAAGGTCTAGTTGTAGTTAATTGTTTCAATAAAACATTTTTCGATTTATCAAACTATCTTTTGATTATTTTTACTATCTTTTACAGGAAATGAGATAAATTTGTGCACAATTGAAAGAGAAGGGTCATTCTATTAGAGTGTTTACGGTATCTCCTAACCGTCAACTTTGATCGGGTTTTTCTCGGTTCCTGTTAAAAATACTGAAAAACTTCCGAGGGAAAAAATATTTGCCTTGATATCAACAACATTTCAATAGTTGAAATTTTTTGAGATCTCAAACAGGAAATGAGATAATCAGGGTCGAAGAAATGATCTTTTCAAGGAGTTACACAGATTTCAATAGTAAAAATTCAAGTGTTTTTTAAACGTGATGAAAATATATTATTTGTGAAAAAAGAAATCAATGTGACGAAAAAAAGTTTTCAAACAGTTTAAATTCTCCACCAAAAAATCGACGTAAAAAACCCACGACCCTCGGTGGCCCATTGACCTCAGGAAGAATACTATGAAGGAAGAAGAAAGTGGAGGAGAGAATCAGTTCCGCCTTTCTGGGGGTTCCCGAGAGGGGAACCGGAGAAGGCTTCCGGGCTTCCGGGCTTCCGGGCTTCCGGGCTTCCGGGCTTCCGGACTTCCGGGCTTTATATCATTAAACAATTGCTTACACTCTGCTAAATGTATTTTCATTTTCACAATAATTGTCAAATTTTGTATATCCTCCATATTCTTGTTCACAACGTGACATATAGAAAGAAGATCCAGGAATCGAGTGTGTCCAGTAGCTTGATAAGTCAATTGGCATTATTGGAATAAAGCAGATGTATAGGCTCCTTGTTTGGAAGTGACGATAGTTGCACAACCTCCAGATAGAGTGCAGATGGCTGGAAATGAAATTTTTTTGATATATAATTATTTGTTTGCTCTTACCAGGATCAAAAAAAAGTATAACAGTGACGAGTAGCAATTTTTCAGTAGTGATGTTCAGTTCAATGATCTTGTTAACCAGAAGACTTCGAATTTCGCGTAGAAATTCTAGCGAGACATCGAAAAATCTAGAGAATGAAAAATCACGAAAAACAAAATTGGGGTTTGCTTACTCGCTCAAAGCATCAGGTAAGATTTCATGGCCACCTGGCGTGATTAATTTTTCATTTTTCCCACGCATGGTTCTCAACGAGGTGAACAGCATAGTGGCTTTAGCGGCGAAGATTTTGAGAAGAGTAATCTGGAAGGTTGCTTTAAATTTCGAAAGCCTGAAGAGTCCAACCTTATCTTCCACATCCAACTGCTCCATGAAGTCCAAATTCAGCAAGAAATCTACAGTTGTATACATCCCAAAGAATCGCCAATCTTCATCAGTTAACTGGTAATTCGTTGTCTAGAATTTGGAATTTTTCGACTTCAGAAGAATTCTCTCACCTGCGTCACAATCGCCATCTTCTTCCTCCCGATTATATCACTTAATCCAGGATTTTCATAAAAAAATTTTGACATCAAAATCGTGGTTCTTCTAGAATCCAAATATAGCAATTGTCCAAGTATGTTGTCTAAAGTGTTATCGATTTTACAATCGGTTTTTAAAATTGCCGACGGTTTGATGAACATTCCGGTTTCCAGGCATTTTTGAAATCGACAAAATTTACAATGCGGAGTTTTCGAGTTCTCGGTTAAGTGTGAAATGAAATAAGTATGTTCCTTGGAAAAAAGGATTTTTAAAAATTTCAAATAATTTTAATTAAAAGCTTTCTATTTTATTTTTGTAAACATTTTATTTTTGAAAATTGGAAACATTTTATTTTTGAAAGTTTGGACAAATTTTGTAATGTTGTATTTCCTACCAATCGAAAGCTCTAAAAATTTCCTTCAAAACTATATAACTTTCATTCAACTTTTGTCGGAGAGACGCAGAGAAACAAGAGTGAAAAACGTATACACTTCGAATCGACTGTCGCTGGAATCGAAATTTTTGGAAAATCTAATGTTAATCAAAGATATGCCTTAAAATTGATTTATTAGTCTCCATCTAATTTCTGAAAAACTCGTGCTCCAAAAATCGATTTCTCAACATTTTTCACTTTCATTTCCAATTTTCTCTGATTAAAAAAAATATTAGATTCTTATTCTTTTTTTTTAATTCTCATATTTTGTTCATTTTGTTCTCTAACGTTAAAATATGCTTTTCCACAATAAACACTTTCTTGAAAAAAAAAATATTCGAACTTATTTGTAAAAACACAGTTGAACTAATTCGCGCACACATAGCATGAACGCCAGCGCCGCGGCGCGGCTGTGTTTTGAAAACGCTGCGTTTCGCCGCCGTTTTTCGGCTGCGCTGTGAGACGGCGGAAAGCCGGCGGCCGCCGGCGTTTTCGCAGCCCTGGCCCTTGCCCTTACTATTCGTCCAATTAACAGCAAACTTACGAACGTACACAACGCAGGCTCTATGGTCTTCACATTTGTCCAATCTTTTGGTATATTGAACGTACTAGGAATATGCTGATTAAAATACCGTAAAAACTCTATTAGATAGCCACCCCTAATTGAATGCCAGCCTCTAATAGAGTGCCATCCTAGATCACCTCCAAACAATAGAGTGCCAGCCCCTAATATAATGCCACTGCGGATTTGATATCACTGTGGTAAAAGTTGAAGAATAACACAAAAACCATTTTCTGGTTTTCTAGCTATTTTCAAGTTTAAAAGAAGTACTGTATTTGTCAAAAATGATTCAGGATAATATCAGACTCCGAAAGTCTCTAATAAAGAAGTGGAAAAATCAAGAAAACCTCGAAAGTAATTTAATGAAAATGTTGGAATACGAGTCCTTCTGTGATGAGTTTCAGTAGAAATTGGCTCCGAACAATAAAGTGTCAGCCTCTAATTGAATACCACCCCCTAATACAGTGCCACCACAGACCACCCCCGAACAATAGAGTGCCATGGCTAAATAATAGAGCTTTTACGGTATGCATTTTTGACACCCTCATATCAACCAGGAACAACCTATACAGTTTTCAGAAAACTGAAAAGCTCATAAACAAACTTTTCATCACTATAATACCACTAAAAAATTTCCGGGACATTGTGTATGTTTTAGTGAAGAAATAAGTAAAATAGGGGGCCAGAACTGAACCGGAAATTAGGTCTGTGCCCAAAGTGGAAAAGCTTAGAAAATATTTACCGTATTCTCATATGAACAACATTTTTGTTATAATTCGTATCGTCTACCTACAGATATAATGTTGTCGTATCAGTTCTCAAGCGTTTTCACAAAGATTGGATTTCTGCTCACCTTCATGTCTAACTTTTTCCTGATTTATTTAACTTTGTTTCATATCAAAAAGGTCGTTGGAACTTATAAACGCATGGTTATTTATTTTACAGTTGCGGGTATCGTTTTATCTGGATTGGAAATTGTTGCTCGGCCATTTGCTCAGAATCATAGTCAATACCTTTTGTACTTCAGCCTGAGTGAATGGATATTTTCTCGAGAGTTGTGTCAGGTTGGGCTGAATTCAAATATATCCCCCACCCCAATTCAAGTATAGTCCCCCAAAATGAACCATAGTAGAGCCCCCCACCTCCAACAATCTGGACACTTGCATCAGTTCAAAAAAAGCCCCCCCCCCACCAATTCAAATATAGACCCCCACTTTTAAATGGTCCATTCCAATTCGAAAAAAGGCCCCCACCAATTCAATTATAGATAGGCACCACAACAAAATTTTCAAAATAGATTTTTCCCAGTTTTTATTGTTGGATTGTCTTCTCCTACCTTATAGATGTTCATTCCCGAATTTTCAGCGAAAAATCTTCATTCAGCACCGAGTTACACACTCTTTTGTACCAGGCCTCAATGTACTGACTTTCTCCTCATTTTTTTGCGGTGCGCAGAAAAGTGGGCGGGGTTTAGAAGCTTGCAATCCTGCGGCGCGGAAAATTCGTGAAGGAAATTAAAGAAATAGCTATTGAACGCGTGAGAGACCCGAACCTCCGCCTGCGTCTGATCAGCGCGCGCGCCCACTATCCAGTCGGCCACCGCTACACTATTTGTGAGAGCATTGAGGTAGGAGAGAGGAAACGGCGGCTTTTCGTTGCCAGTCGCCCCCTTCCGGTTTAACATAAAACCGCGTCAGTAGAATTTTTTTATTATGATTGCTTTCAGTGGCAAATTTTGCGTAGAATCTTATGGTGAAGAGAAAACCGATGGCACGAACCTGTGTCACCATCAAAACTTCCAAAAACCAAAAAATTTAGAAGTTTATAATTTACAGATGTGCATTAAAACTACTGAATGGTAATCAATTTTTCTGAAATTTGACACAGGTGTACACTAGACTTAGTTTTAATAATATTCAAAAAAAATTTGGGGTCGTCGCTGAAATTTTTTATGTATTTTAGCTGGAACTTTGGCTGAAAATTAGAGACAACCGCGTCAGTAGAATTCCGATTTTATTTCAAAATCCAATCTTCCATTTCATAAACTACCAGAATCCATTAAAAAAATCTTTGGTCACGAACTTCCATCCAAAATTTTTAGTCCACTTTGTCAGTTTGGTTTCTGTTTTTCGAAGTTTTCGAGTCAAAATGATGACATAATCAAAAAATTGATATTTCCATTCGATTTGTCGCAGTCGATTACATAGGGACAAGTTCTAACCTTAAAAATCAAGGGTTTCTAACGCCCGGTACACGACTTCAAAAATGGACTTTTGAAAAGGGGAGAAAAATTTGGTCGCCCCGCCCCCTTTCATTGCGACGCCTAATTTATAGACCCCCACTTTTTGGGGGGGGGGGTCATATTTGAATAAAGTGCTCAGATAAGGTTCTCTTTTTGGGGGGGGGGGCTATTTTTGAATGGTTGGAGGGTTTTAATTGAAGAAGGCATGGAGGGG